GTGACAGAATGACGGACACAATCACACAGTTCGCACTTTGTGTATTTATTGTTGTTTCTTATAACACAACACAACCCCACCTCAGGTCCTGGTACATACATTATAAGAGAAAAATAATGAACTAATTGAGCTCAGGTGTGTGTCAGCCATCTCCGGCAGCAGAGCTCAAAGCAATACCTTACCACACTGAGAGGACATGAACAACACTCACTGGTCTCATTTGTTTCACTGTATTCTGAATCTGCAGCGTCTACAGGGAAAAGCATACTTGACTCGTTTGTTTCACTGTTTTCTGAACCTGCAGCTTCTGCAGGGACAAGAACACTTGTCTCATTTGTTTCACTGTATTCTGAACCTGCTGCTTCTGCAGGGACAACCACACTTGTCTCGTTTGTTTCACTATTTTCTAAACCTGCTGCTTCTACAGAGCCAACCACACTTGTCTCATTTGTTTCACTGTATTCTGAACCCGCAGCTTCTGCAGGGACAACCACACTTGTCTTGTTTGTTTCACTGCATTCTGAACCTGCAGCGTCTACAGAGCCAAGCACACTTGTCTCATTTGTTTCACTGTATTCCAAACCTGCAACTTCTGCAAGGACAACCACACTTGTCTTGTTTGTTTCACTGCATTCTGAACCCGCAGCTTCTGCAAGGACAACCACACTTGTCTCATTTGTTTCACTATTTTTGAACCTGCTGCTTCTACAGAGCCAACCACACTTGTCTCATTTGTTTCACTGTATTCTGAACCTGCTGCTTCTGCAGGGACAACCACACTCGTCTCATTTGTTTCACTGTTTTCTGAACCTGCAGCTTCTACAATGACAACAAAACTTTTCTCATTGTTTCACTATTTTCTGAACCTGCTGCGTCTACAGAGCCAACCACACTTGTCTCGTTTGTTTCACTGTATTCTAAACCTGCAGCTTCTGCAAGGACAACCACAGTTGTCTCGTTTGTTTCACTGCATTCTGAACCCGCAGCTTCTGCAAGGACAACCACACTTGTCTCATTTGTTTCACTATTTTCTGAACCTGCTGCGTCTACAGAGCCAACCACACTTGTCTCGTTTGTTTCACTATTTTTGAACCTGCTGCATCTTCAGAGCCAACCACACTTGTCTCGTTTGTTTCAGTGTATTCTGAACCTGCTGCTTCTGCAGGGACAACCACACTTGACTCGTTTGTTTCACTATTTTCTAAACCTGCTGCTTCTACAGAGCCAACCACACTTGTCTCATTTGTTTCACTGTATTCTGAACCTGCTGCTTCTACAGAGCCAACCACACTTGTCTCGTTTGTTTCACTATTTTCTAAACCTGCTGCTTCTACAGAGCCAACCACACTTGTCTCATTTGTTTCACTGTATTCTGAACCTGCTGCTTCTACAGAGCCAACCACACTTGTCTCATTTGTTTCACTGTTTTCTGAACCTGCAGCTTCTACAGAGCCAACCACACTTGTCTCGTTTGTTTCACTATTTTCTAAACCTGCTGCTTCTACAGAGCCAACCACACTTGTCTCATTTGTTTCACTGTATTCTGAACCTGCTGCTTCTACAGAGCCAACCACACTTGTCTCATTTGTTTCACTGTTTTCTGAACCTGCTGCTTCTACAGAGCCAACCACACTTGTCTCGTTTGTTTCACTATTTTCTAAACCTGCTGCTTCTACAGAGCCAACCACACTTGACTCGTTTGTTTCACTATTTTCTAAACCTGCTGCTTCTACAGAGCCAACCACACTTGTCTCATTTGTTTCACTGTATTCTGAACCTGCTGCTTCTACAGAGCCAACCACACTTGTCTCGTTTGTTTCACTATTTTCTAAACCTGCTGCGTCTACAGAGCCAACCACACTTGTCTCGTTTGTTTCACTATTTTCTAAACCTGCTGCTTCTACAGAGCCAACCACACTTGTCTCATTTGTTTCACTGTATTCTGAACCTGCTGCTTCTACAGAGCCAACCACACTTGTCTCGTTTGTTTCACTATTTTCTAAACCTGCTGCGTCTACAGAGCCAACCACACTTGTCTCGTTTGTTTCACTATTTTCTAAACCTGCTGCTTCTACAGAGCCAACCACACTTGTCTCGTTTGTTTCACTGTATTCTGAACCTGCTGCGTCTACAGAGCCAACCACACTTGTCTCGTTTGTTTCACTATTTTCTAAACCTGCTGCGTCTACAGAGCCAACCACACTTGTCTCATTTGTTTCACTGTTTTCTGAACCTGCAGCTTCTACAGAGCCAACCACACTTGTCTCGTTTGTTTCACTATTTTCTAAACCTGCTGCTTCTACAGAGCCAACCACACTTGTCTCATTTGTTTCACTGTATTCTGAACCTGCTGCTTCTACAGAGCCAACCACACTTGTCTCATTTGTTTCACTGTTTTCTGAACCTGCTGCTTCTACAGAGCCAACCACACTTGTCTCGTTTGTTTCACTATTTTCTAAACCTGCTGCTTCTACAGAGCCAACCACACTTGTCTCATTTGTTTCACTGTATTCTGAACCTGCTGCTTCTACAGAGCCAACCACACTTGTCTCATTTGTTTCACTGTTTTCTGAACCTGCAGCTTCTGCAGAGCCAACCACACTTGTCTCGTTTGTTTCACTATTTTCTAAACCTGCTGCTTCTACAGAGCCAACCACACTTGTCTCATTTGTTTCACTGTATTCTGAACCTGCTGCTTCTACAGAGCCAACCACACTTGTCTCATTTGTTTCACTGTTTTCTGAACCTGCAGCTTCTACAGAGCCAACCACACTTGTCTCATTTGTTTCACTGTATTCTGAACCTGCTGCTTCTGCAGGGACAACCACACTCGTCTCATTTGTTTCACTGTTTCTGAACCTGCAGCTTCTACAATGACAACAAAACTTTTCTCATTTTTTTCACTATTTTCTGAACCTGCAGCTTCTACAGAGCCAACCACACTTGTCTCATTTGTTTCACTGTATTCTGAACCTGCAGCTTCTGCAAGGACAACCACAGTTGTCTCGTTTGTTTCACTGTTTTCTGAACCTGCAGCTTCTGCAAGGACAACCACACTTGTCTCATTTGTTTCACTATTTTCTGAACCTGCTGCGTCTACAGAGCCAACCACACTTGTCTCGTTTGTTTCACTATTTTTTGAACCTGCTGCATCTTCAGAGCCAACCACACTTGTCTCGTTTGTTTCAGTGTATTCTGAACCTGCAGCTTCTGCAGAGCCAACCACACTTGTCTCATTTGTTTCACTGTATTCTGAACCTGCTGCTTCTACAGAGCCAACCACACTTGTCTCGTTTGTTTCACTATTTTCTAAACCTGCTGCGTCTACAGAGCCAACCACACTTGTCTCGTTTGTTTCACTATTTTCTAAACCTGCTGCGTCTACAGAGCCAACCACACTTGTCTCGTTTGTTTCACTGTTTTCTGAACCTGCAGCTTCTGCAGAGCCAACCACACTTGTCTCGTTTGTTTCACTATTTTCTAAACCTGCTGCTTCTACAGAGCCAACCACACTTGTCTCATTTGTTTCACTGTATTCTGAACCTGCTGCTTCTACAGAGCCAACCACACTTGTCTCATTTGTTTCACTGTTTTCTGAACCTGCAGCTTCTACAGAGCCAACCACACTTGTCTCATTTGTTTCACTGTATTCTGAACCTGCTGCTTCTGCATGGACAACTACACTTGTCTCATTTGTTTCACTGCATTCTGAACCCGCAGCTTCTGCAAGGACAACAAAACTTTTCTCATTTGTTTCACTATTTTCTGAACCTGCTGCGTCTACAGAGCCAACCACACTTGTCTCGTTTGTTTCACTGTATTCTAAACCTGCAGCTTCTGCAAGGACAACCACACTTGTCTCATTTGTTTCACTATTTTCTGAACCTGCTGCGTCTACAGAGCCAACCACACTTGTCTCGTTTGTTTCACTGCATTCTGAACCCGCAGCTTCTGCAAGGACAACCACACTTGTCTCATTTGTTTCACTGTTTTCTGAACCTGCAGCTTCTGCAGAGCCAACCACACTTGTCTCGTTTGTTTCACTATTTTCTAAACCTGCTGCTTCTACAGAGCCAACCACACTTGTCTCATTTGTTTCACTGTATTCTGAACCTGCTGCTTCTACAGAGCCGACCACACTTGTCTCGTTTGTTTCACTATTTTCTAAACCTGCTGCTTCTACAGAGCCAACCACACTTGTCTCATTTGTTTCACTATTTTCTAAACCTGCTGCGTCTACAGAGCCAACCACACTTGTCTCGTTTGTTTCACTATTTTCTAAACCTGCTGCTTCTACAGAGCCAACCACACTTGTCTCATTTGTTTCACTGTATTCTGAACCTGCTGCATCTTCAGAGCCAACCACACTTGTCTCGTTTGTTTCAGTGTATTCTGAACCTGCAGCTTCTGCAGGGACAAGAACACTTGTCTCATTTGTTTCACTGTTTTCTGAACCTGCAGCTTCTGCAGGGACAACCACACTTGTCTCATTTGTTTCACTGTTTTCTGAACCTGCAGCTTCTGCAGGGACAAGAACACTTGTCTCATTTGTTTCACTGTATTCTGAACCTGCTGCTTCTGCAGGGACAAGAACACTTGTCTCATTTGTTTCACTGTTTTCTGAACCTGCAGCTTCTGCAGGGACAAGAACACTTGTCTCATTTGTTTCACTGTTTTCTGAACCTGCAGCGTCTACAGAGCCAAGCACACTTGTCTCATTTGTTTCACTGTATTCCAAACCTGCAACTTCTGCAAGGACAACCACACTTGTCTTGTTTGTTTCACTGCATTCTGAACCCGCAGCTTCTGCAAGGACAACCACACTTGTCTCATTTGTTTCACTATTTTTTGAACCTGCTGCTTCTACAGAGCCAACCACACTTGTCTCGTTTGTTTCACTGTATTCTGAACCTGCTGCTTCTGCAGGGACAACCACACTCGTCTCATTTGTTTCACTGTTTTCTGAACCTGCAGCTTCTACAATGACAACAACACTTTTCTCATTTGGTTTCACTGTTTTCTGAACCTGCTGCGTCTACAGAGCCAACCACACTTGTCTCGTTTGTTTCACTGTATTCTAAACCTGCAGCTTCTGCAAGGACAACCACAGTTGTCTCGTTTGTTTCACTGCATTCTGAACCCGCAGCTTCTGCAAGGACAACCACACTTGTCTCATTTGTTTCACTATTTTCTGAACCTGCTGCGTCTACAGAGCCAACCACACTTGTCTCGTTTGTTTCACTATTTTTTGAACCTGCTGCATCTTCAGAGCCAACCACACTTGTCTCGTTTGTTTTAGTGTATTCTGAACCTGCTTCTTCTGCAGGGACAACCACACTTGTCTCGTTTGTTTCACTATTTTCTAAACCTGCTGCTTCTACAGAGCCAACCACACTTGTCTCATTTGTTTCACTGTTTTCTGAACCTGCAGCTTCTGCATGGACAACCATACTTGTCTCATTTGTTTCACTGTTTTCTGAACCTGCAGCTTCTGCAGAGCCAACCACACTTGTCTCATTTGTTTCACTATTTTCTAAACCTGCTGCGTCTACAGAGCCAACCACACTTGTCTCATTTGTTTCACTGTATTCTGAACCTGCTGCTTCAGCATGGACAACCACACTTGTCTCATTTGTTTCACTGTTTTCTGAAGCTGCAGCTTCTGCAGGGACATGTACACTTGTTTCGTCGTCTGAACTTGATTCAACGTCTATTTCCACATCTTCTATGACTCCCTGAACATCATTATCACTTGAATTTGTAACACTGATCATGTTCAGTGTATCACTGTGATCACTGTGTGTGTTTCCATGTTCATGACTCTTATTATCTTTTAGTAGGTTTTCTTTTCTATAATCGTCCACTTTTGTATTATTTTGATCCAGACCATCACTTCCAGTGGTTTCTTTGTCCTCATTTTGTTCTTTGTCCAGAGGATCTACGTTACAGGGGTTGTTAGGTGATCCCTCTGCTTCTCTTAATTTAGGAGCCTTTGGATTATGCTCCATGTCTGTCTCCTCCCCCTTTTCTTGCTTTCTCTTCCTATCTTGAGTACCAGTATCTGCAGCATGAAACACAAAGTAGAAACAAAATCATTCAGGCACCAAACAGCTGAAGAAACCACAACAAGAATATTTGCTGTTACCTTTCTTTTTCCTGTAAAACAGAAGATATGTAGTCTGGGACCTAGTGGAAAAATATGATATGTAATAAATGTGTTACTTTCACATGCAGTGATGTGTTTAGCTAACATTTTATAACAGATTTATTTTTGGCAGCAGTGTTTTCCTACAAATTAATATGTGTCTGCATATTTTATATTTTTCTAACAGTGCAAATATTTAAAGATACACCTGTTTAGATTTTTTCATTAATTTTATTGTTTTGCTTTGCACAGCAGAGATTTGGGGTAGAGTTGAATTAACTACATAGACAATCTGCAGTTGTGATTATAGAACAGTGTTATACGATACTTCAGCATGTAGAACAGTGAAAAAAGTGTATTGAAGGCATGTCTAGTATATACTTATGTGAAAGGTTAAGAAATAATTGGAAAATAATGTACAGTGGAAATAAAAAGTACAAAAAAACTTACCTCTTAGTGTTACCGAACTGGAATTGCTGATAATCAAGCTGATGATGTAAAAAATAATCAAGTATAACATGAAGGATATGTCCCTGTACATGTAGTTGTATAAAGGAGTAATGCAGGAACATATTTTAGTATCAACAGTGAATAAGTGATCAGTCTTACCTCTGTGACCCTGGTATCATCAAACTGATACCATCTGTCTCCATGTTCCTCCTGGATCTTGATTGTTGCGGTGTAATGTCCTCCTCTCAGATCCCCAAAATGATCCACAGACGCATACAGTTCATATGTCTGACACTGATTACCAAAGGAAAAATGGCAAATATGAGAATGACTGAAGAAAATGAAATGGATTATGATTAAATACAAAATATTCTGTAAATATACCTCTGGTATCTGCAGGGTTTTAGGAAACTCCACAGAACAGTTGATTTTGATGTATGACATGTAATTATAGTTGAACTCAAACCTCTTCAGCAGCAGACACAAAACATCTGGTTGATGCTTTATTTCATCTCTCTGAATGAAATTTTTTTAATTCACATCAGTTTTATTTATACAGCACCAAATCACAGCAACAGTCGCCTGAAGGAATTTTTCTTATTTCCCAATATGTGTTAATATGTTTAAAAAAAAATGTTTAAAAAAAATTCACCATAGTAGCATCAACTTTGTCACCACACTGATCACAGTACAGCCGATTTTCTCCACAGAAATCTGAAGGTTTAAAAAACTCCTCAATTCCTTTTACCTGAAAAAATACACTCATGTTAATTAAAATCGGATCGAACAAAGACGTGCTGACCAGGGAAGTGACGTAACGAATTTAAAAGATTTTAAACATGACCTACTAACTTTATCATTTCACAGTCAAGGGGTAAGATCTATTGTCTAATAGAGCCAAATCTAAAGCAGTGAACATATACACAGCTTCTCATGTTAGTATTCATTTGGACTGCAAAGGAGGAGCTGATTTACATATTTTTTAGCCAAACCAGATACCCTATAAAGAATTGCCACAGCAGTTCTTTTGTAGTTTTGCCTGTGTATACCAACAAAATGGATTGAAAATCAGTAAATATGTGACTGAAGTGCAGACTGTGCAGACATTGATTCAAAGTGTTGAATCTTTATTTTATAGCTTATTATTGTAATTTCCATTTAATTTTAATTATAAAACCCAAAGACGTGCTAGTGCATGTCAGGGAGACCATGATTAGGCTGAAAAACCAACTATCTTCAAGTTTCCATTTTTTTCACAGATCATTGCTGCACATTCTCCTACTAAATATCAGATACTTTAGACAAACCAGAAAAGTCATAAGGGTGGACATATATAGTATATACCTATATTCTTCATAATGATTCCTTTCCACTCATTAATATCAAACAACAGTGGGAGACTGAGTTGAAAGTACAGCTTCAGACTCCTGGTGGGACAAAGCGCCTTGCAGAATCCACTTAAGCAAAGCTAAATGTTAAACTTTATGCAGTGCATAGAATAAAACAGTCATCAGTTACTCAGGAAAATATAAAAATATTATATATCTTTTACTGGAAAAAGCATGTAAGCTCAAAACGTTTTTCACAGTTGTCATGTCCTGGCAGCCAGAAACATGCAAAGTGCATGCGAAGTTTGCAGCTTTTCAGATCCTTACCACCAGGGGCGGAGCGTGGGGGTGGCTTACTGGGCTTAAGCCCGGGTTGTTTTGTCAGAAGCCCGGGGTCTTTTGGAGTGTAATTTTTTCATAGTTAGATGCCTGGCTGACAACTGTATAAAACAAAAAGTACACACAATATTCGAAGCACATAGTGCACACTGTGGGAATTTACGACTGTGCGTGAATCCCCCCTGATATTGGTATGATCCGAGCTCAGGCACTAAGCGACTGAGCGAGGGGCGGAGCAGCTGCTGCCTGCTGTGAGTGCGCTGTTGGAGAAACGGAGCCAGCCGTACTAAGGAGAGCTTAAGTTTGACCAGGTACGAAAGCAAATCATTCGTACCGTACAAATAATGTAAATATGACGGTGAATCACGAAACATTGATATCAAACTGATCACTTGACCAATATTACGTTACTTGCTCTTCAAGTGAATCAACAAATGGCGAAATGAAAAGCCGAACAAATGCTATTTTTTTTAGAGAGTCTTACGTGTGTTTATTTCATATTTTCAGTTCTTACCCTCCCCGACTAAATCGGTTTCAGTTATGTACTGAAATATAAGAATGGGCATTAGAGGGTTCTTTCAAAGAAAAAACTCAGGTAAATGTTATTTTATATATTATGCTTTGTATGTTGTTCAGTATATTTCTATGCAAAACAAGAGGGATTTCAGTACAAAGCAGGATATTCACATTTGTAACCAGATATTTACATACACTTTAGGGAGAAAACATAAAACATTTTTACTGTACAACATCAATTTAGATTAAACTTTTGTTTTAGATAAATATTGAAATATCTTTTGAATTAGTTAAATGTCAGAATAAAGAGAGACAGAGCTGTCTATTTTTTATCACTTTGATCAAATTTAGGAGTACATATACACTAAGTTTGTTAATTAATAAGAAAACTCCAGACGATTCCATCCTGAGCTGAAAAAGCTTCTGATAGGTTAGTAGAGTCCATGTGAGTAAATTGGTGGCACAGCTGTGGATGCATATAAGGCAAAACACAGAGCCTGTTTCTGTGACATGGGAACATCAAGAGATGTCAACCAAAACACCAGGAAAAGAACTGTGGAGCGCCATAAATGTGGCTCAATTTTGAATACAATTTGGTGCCATTTGCAATTAAGAAATACAGATAGTTTCTCTCTTTACTCTTAAAGTTAACAAATATGTTTTTTATATTTATCAATCTAAAAAAATAAACATAAACATTTAGTCTGATTTGATGTTACAATTAAAAAAGTGTTTGTGTTTTGATCTGAAGAGTACATAAATATGTGGTTTCAACTGTATATTTGATGATTGTCAGCACAAAGAGGGAGAGAGAGGGACAGAGAGGGAGATGGAGAACGAGGACAGAACAGAGGTGGAACAAGAGCAGGTGAGACACACATGTTAGTCAAATGGTTGTTTACCAAAAGTATCACTGTATCATGGTCGTGTATCTCGTACCTAGTGTTTCTTTTTAGGTTTGCTATTTTTCAAATTCTACATTTATTAAGTTATGCAGGCTTGTTTGCACAACAAGGCTAAATAATGATATAAACTTTTCTAAATCTAAATAGTGGACTTTGGTAGAATTAAAAAAATAAGTGTAGTGCAGGTCTATGATGATTTTTAGTGCTACTATCATCTAGTTCTGATTCTGGTTCTGTCTTTGTTAAATCCTCAGTAGTCCTGATTTTGAACTGTTGTAGTCCTGTTTTAATTCCGGATCAGTTCTGGGTCTGGTTGAATTGGGGTTTAGTCCTCATGACTTGATACAGCCCCAATTTTGTTCTGCCTTGCTGCTTAATTAAAAAACTAGTTTAAGGTGTCCTGCACATGTGATATATATTTTTCCCTATATGAAGTCATTCTTTTTTGAACAAAACTCGAAACAGAGCCTATTAATCTTTCAGTCATTTCTACCCCCTCAAAAAAAAGAAAAAAAAAATCCCACATGCATACTACCCTTTAGGGCTAAGCCCCGGGTGTTTCAAATGTCTGGCTCCGCCTCTGCTTACCACACTGTAGTCTTCACTGCAGGAATTCACCAGTGGAAGAGGAAGATGCCAAAATGGTGCATCTCCATCAGTCTGTATATGACCTTTAGAACAGGTGGTCTTGTTTGCTAACTGACCGTGGAAGATCTGAAAATATAAATGCACATAACCTGTTCATTTCATTTGAGTTCAGTTTCAATTAGATTGGACTTGCTCACAACAAAAGTTGTCCAAAGCATTTTATATTGTAAGGCGAAGACCCCACAATTAAAAAGTAATATTTTGATCCAGTGTATAGATACCCTTTGACATCGATGAAGACCTTACCTGTGATGCATCAGTGCTGGTCATTCTTAAAACCCTCTCAAAGTAGTCTGCAGCATCACGCTGTTCATACACTGTGATAAATGCATATAATTAAAAAAAAAAAAAGAAGTCATCTATTCTTAACATACAATTTTCCATTGTTATAATAATTGAATAATTAGATCAATAACAGTAATGTTTTATGTATATAACTTTATTTTAATAAAGTCATACAGTACTCAGGAGATTACATTAAAAAAAATTAATTGGGTGGTTGTCACTGTAAATAACCGTAAATACTTTTATTTAGTTCCTTATTTTGGCACTTATGGCCGTTATCTACTATCAGCTTCCTGTCTGAGTTTTGAAGCTGTGAAACTGTTGTGGGGGCCGTTTTAGTGGAAATCACTGGAGTTTGAAGTGTGATGGTTTAAAGGAGACCATGGAGATTTCTTTTGTCAGTAGCCCCCTTGATAGAGGCACAAGGTATGTTCATGACGTAGATAAGGACATGTTTAGATGTTTTGTGTGACAGAGGCTACATTCATTAAATTTTATGTAGAAGATAACTTTATGTTGTAAGCAATGTTCCCTCTAGTTTTTCATGTGTCTGAGCAAACACACAAACTCCCTGAGCGATCCCTTGGACCGCTGTGAGCAACAGCAGACGTGTGCACTGTGGTCACGCCAGCATCAAATCCATCCAAATTACATGGTTTATTAAAATAATCAAATTACAGCATTTACAATCATGCTAGACTACTTTTAATTAACTGCTTTAGCCCACTTACAATAAAAAAAATGTTCATGACCTGTGTAGTATGTTAACACTTCTGGAAGTAAAAATAACTTGAACTCCAATTCTGAAAACATAACTTTCTTTTTTTTTATATAAAGCGTATAAAGAGTATGATTCTGTGGTGTTGGAGAGAGTCCTGTAACTCTCTGTCTGCAAAATACAGTATATAATGACCAATGTTGGGCAATTAATAGTTACTTATTCAAAAAAGTTACTGAGTTATGCAAACAACAAAGTTTTTTTCCGCTGTTTACCTAAAAATGCTGCCAAGGCGTTTTTTAACTCATTCACTGCCAGCCATTTTCAAATCAGGTAACTCCCCACTGCCAGGGTTTTTGAGCATTTTTACTCATTTTTGAAGAGCCACAGAAAACTGTGTGTTATGATCATATAAACGCTGAACCTACCAAAATGAAGAACAGACTCTCTTCTTTCATCCAAAAAAAAAGCTTGTTTCTACCATTTTACTCTGATCGCACTATCTAAATCGCACTACTGCCACCTGCAGGTCGATTTTGTCATTACATACCATGAATGCAAGTCTGATATTCACTGACAAGCTGCCCGAGGTTGTATTCTAGCCCCTCCCATTGAAAAACGTAATTGACGTCTATAGACGTCAATGGCAGTCAACGTAAGTTTTTCAATTGACGTCTATAGACTTCAATGGCAGTGAATGAGTTAAATTAACATTTCAAACTATTTACAGAACAATCAGCTGTTCTGCATCAAATCGGATGCCACACAAATGTTTGTGCCACTCCAAAAAATAATTTCTGTCCACTATGACATAAAGGAGAACAACAGCCTGATACCTGTAGGCCTGACAACAGGAAATGTATCACTCCTGTGTCCTGTACTGACACACATGACAAAGCTATTGAGTACACTACACACTAACTACACGAGATTCGCGCTAAACGTCGCAAATCTGTCACATCACAAAACACCGCCGTCACCCCACCCCCAGGCGGAGAGTGCTTTCGAGCGTTTTCCTTATAAAACGCTGTTTTACCGTTTCTTCACGCATTAAATATAAACAACGATAGTATTAAGGAAAAACAAACATTGCATATTTTTTTAATCATAACTCTGGTTTTACGTGGCCTATCAACACAATTTAAAAACTGGTATAAAGTCCAGACTTTTTCCGTCAATCGTTCCATCTGTCCTGCTCACATCTCCACATTGTCATTAACGTTGCTTCACTTTACATCAGTCATGCCACTTTCCTAGCTAAAACACCGGTGTCCGCACATAAGGACTCTGTCAGCCTGTCAACAACGTTGATTAGCTGCGTATATACGAATGTAAATCACGAGATTGGCTGGACTATGGGATAAGGTGGCATCATTCTAATTCCATACAGGAGCAGCCAGTCACTTACTGACTAACACTGCAAAACAGAATTGTTTTAATTTTAATTTCAATTCAGGTTAGATTAGAGACCGTGACAACAGTGCGCAATTGCGCATGCGCGCACCTTAGAGGGAACATTGGTTGTAAGGTTTACGATTGTAACAGTGTGGATTTTTAACTTACTTGCTGTTTCTGTCTATACATCCCCAGCTCTTACGGTGAGATTGATGGTTTACTGCCATTAAACCTTCCAAACTTCATCAGTAAAGTGTCACATTTACAAGATTCTAACTTGTTATTTGAACAAAATAACTTTATGTTTCTAGCTGAAGGTAATTAAATCATATAGGATCTGCATTAAATTCAGCAACTTAATTTGTTCTAGTTGAGGTGACATGATACAATCTAGTAAGAGGGGTTGGTTGCCTGGACTCATGAAATTCACAAGATCACACAAGATTTCAAACCACAGGAAAATCACTGGGATTATAAGAGGCAGAAAACCATACACACACAACATGTATGCTGTTACTATTTATTGTGGTTTAATCATAGCTGTCCTACGTTTTTGAATACTATATTGACGGTGGTGAAGTGGTTAGCACTGTTGCCTTAAAGCTGGGTTCAAATTTACCATTGGAGTGAGTTTGCAGTGGGTTCTCTCTGGATATCTGGTTTCCTCCAATAGTTAATTACGTTAATTGGTGATTCGAAATTACCCAAAAGTGTTAATGTAAGTGTAAATAGTTGTCTCTCTCTCTCTCTCTGTGATAGGCTGGCACCTGTCCAGTGTGTACCCTGCCTCTTGCTCTATCACATCTGGGATAGACCACAGCCTCCCATGAACCCTCATGAACTTAAAATAATCATGGAAAGGACTTCCACATTAATAAATGGCTTTCTATTAGCATTAAGCATTTTTGTAGGACTAACGTAATTTGCATGGGGTGGATCAACTCAATTAAATTAGGTTGGACTCACCTGCAGTAAATAAGTTGATTCATCATTGTTTAATTAAGTTGGTCCAACTCAAGTAACTCAATTAAGTTGGAATAACAGAACTACATAAGTAATTTAATCATGTGGAAATTCTCTCCATGATTTCTTTTTATGTTCATTCAAAGAGTTATTTTTTTGAGTGTATACTATTCAAGTTTTGTTGTTCTGTACCGTTCTCAATGTCCAGCTTCTGTGTTATATTAAATGTTTGAGCTTCATGTTCCTGTAAGTCATCAAATAAGGTATTCAGATATTGATCAAGGAACTCAGGGTGACGATTTTTCTGTTTAGAGTTCCTAAACAGAAAGGGAAGATGAGTGATTAAAAATGCACAATAGACTTCATATATAGCAAATATAGAATCATGCTTAAAGTTGGATAACAAACTTTTTCACAGCCGTTCTGAAGTCTTCGGTCATGAACAGCACCTGCAGCACACTGTTCAAGTAACATGTGGATCCTTGGTTTATCAGTCCATGGTACCTGTCAGCTGATGGGAAGAGAGAATGCATACAAAGAAGATATATATTTAAAACATTAGTCTCGATCATAAAATAACCAAAGAAAAATAAACCAAAAACCCATTTATATTTTATAATTTCTACATTAGGAGTTTAACTGGGCATTTTCTTTTTCAATATTAATATTACTCTAAAATATCTAATTTGCCAATTCTAGTCAAATTCAGTAGTTTGATGTGATTTACTGATTGGGAAAGCAATGTGCCCAAATTTACAGTGCGGGGGGAGGAGGGGAAGAGTCAATAAGTTACTGCCTGTAAACCTCCAAAATACATTACGCTGACCCATAGATCAGGGCAATTTAAGCCTGGAGCATTGCCAGGAGTATAGTGGCCTCCGTAACTGGTAAACTAGAACAAGCAAAACTCTCTCTTAAAGTCCAGTGTCTGTCCAAACTAAGTAATCAGACTAGTTCAGGAAATTGGTTAGAAAAAGAATTGGAACATAACTTCAGGAATCCTGAGAGAGATCTATAAATCAGCAATGTTCTATCTATTAAAGATTTGTTGATGAAGGCTAAACGGAAAAAAAGCCAGCACTCTAGGTACACCAGTGCTAAAAAGAAAAAACGGAAACATCGAAATTCCTGGATAAATGTACTCCAACAATACGTTTAAGAAGGAAAACAAAAAAACAAACAAACAAAAAACTTCGAAATATTTTCTGAAATATTTGAAATATTTGCTGTAAACAATACCTGTGTCCGCTCCGCTCATTGCAATCACTTCACTTCTGCACTGCTGAAGAAACTGCCCCCTAAAAAGAAATAAACCGCAAATGTTAGCAATTATGCTAAACAACAACACATACAATCCTTCCTTCCGATTAATTCAAAGCATTACCCTGGATCCTTTGGAAACTACTGAGTTTATTCTCACGCAAACAAACTAACTGCGACCTGCAGATCCAGTGCTTTAAAAAAAAAAAACCCGGAACACTTTCACTTTCTCTTTCTCTTAGGGTGGAGTTGTTGCAATGTTGCATTCATGCTGTGTTGGAAATCTCGAAATCATCAAAACACAGCTAGATGATTGACAATTATTTACACTTTTCAGAACCCGGTTATTTAAAATGTGTTAATGACAGTAACATCAGGAAGAAGGAACACGAGAAGCTCGAGAACTACCAGGGGCTCAGAAAAGTGCTCGAGAAGATGTGGAGGGTGAAGGTGAAGGTGGTCCCAGTGGTAATCGGAGCACTAGGTGCACTGACTCCCAAGCTAGGCGAGTGGCTCCAGCAGATCCCGGGAACAACATCAGAGATTTCTGTCCAGAAGAGCGCAGTCCTAGGAACAGCTAAGATAATGCGCAGGACCCTTAAGCTCCCAGGCCTCTGGTAGAGGACCCAAGCTTGAACTATAGACCGCCCACAGGCACGAGAGGGGAATTTTTACATTGTACTGTATTTTAAAGATAGTCATAGCCAACACGGTGACAAAAATCATAAATTTCAAGTGTAAGTACTCAACTCCAGTACATCAATGAAAAAATCAAATAAATCTTCATGTTGTGTCAATATTTAGAACTCGTTTCTACTAAGAACATCAACGAGGTGACCTTAAATCTTTAACATTTCAGGGCCAGTACAAATTTAAGGGCCCAGCTTTAAAGGATGGTACGCTATATAAGTGTGATGCAGTGTGGTCCTACCAAGAGGTGCGCAGGCTGGCAGTACTAACAACAGAAAAGATAGAGTAATTTTAAGAGAACATCGCCATCCTAGCTGCCACAGAGTACTGCAAATTTAAAACTGTAAGTGTCCAACGTCTTGATAGATTCTCAATCATCCAGGAAAGTAAATCTCCAAAAGTTGATTCTGTTCATCTGGACGTAGCGTTTTGTGGGAGGAACATTTCGTCACTCATCCAAGTGACTTCTTCAGTCTCAGCTGACTGCAGGTTTCCCCAATCTTATAAACAGTACATTTGCATAATGACTGAAACCAGCCCACTGAAGGAACAATGGGCTGGGAGGTCAGTTCCTTAATCATAATTATGCAAATTCTCATGACCATTGATCAACAACCACTGATCAACAACCACTGATCAACAACCACTGACCAAAACCCACTGATCAAAGACCACTGATCAATGGCCATGAGTACCATTCACCGAGAATTGGGGAATGGCTGAAATCACAGCATTGTAAGATGGCGAAAGATGAGAAGATTTTGTCACTACTCAGTGATGAAAATACTTATGAGCCCCTGAAACGAAACCCAGGAAGTGGCTACAGGAAGAGGGTGATAGACTGTCTGAAGCAGTTAGAACAAGACAAGGCTATCGACTGGACCTCATACCACAGGCTGTACCCAGGGGAGTCTACACCAAGTCTGTATGGTTTACCGAAATTGCATAAACAGGGTGCACCTTTAAGACCGATTGTCTGCATGATCAACTCTGTCACCTATAACATCTCTAAGTTTCTGGCTTCGATCCTCAACCCGCTGGTGGGCAGCTCTGAACACCACATCCAGATCACCCTGGATTTTGTTGAGAAGGTGAGAGATGTCATTATGGAGACAGATGAAACCATGGTCTCGTACGACATAACTTCTCTCTTCACTTGCATCCCGGTCACGGAAGCATTGGAGGTAGTCCATAAGAGATTACACGATGACACCAACCTCAGCAACAGGACCACTCTCAGCATCGACCAAGTGTGTTTGCTTTTGGAACTGTGTCTTCATTCCACCTACTTCACAGACAAGGGTCAGTCCTACAGGCAGAAACATGGGTGTGCCGTGGGCTCCACAGTTTCACCCATCGTGGCCAATTTGTACATGGAAGAAGTGGAAAAGAGGGCCTTTCTATCCTACTCTGGAACACCACCAAGCCTTTGGTTCAGATATGTCGATGACACCTGGGTGAAAATCAAATCTGAGGACGTACTACACTTCATGGATTAACTCGGTGGACCGACACATCAAATTCACCAGGAAGGATATGAAAAGTGGCAGGTTAGCCTTCTTAGACTGGGAGATTTCCATCAGTAATGGGGGACATCCCCACAGACACAGCGGCCAGGGAGGCAGAAGAACATCACATCAAGAAGGGCCTGAGTAAATGTGGTCAGTAGCGGTTTTAGATACGGGCGACACGGGCGGTTGCCCGGGGGCGGCATCGGGGTGGGGGGCGGCATCACGGGCATCGGCAAAAAAATAAATAAAAAATGCTCATACTCATGCCAGCGCATATTGGGAATGGCATAGGCACCGATCGGTTTTCTATCGCCCATTTGCTGGGAGTAAGGGTGCCCTTCATTTGCGAGGTGCGCCTGCTGCTTGCGGCGCAGAGAGCAGAGGGCGTGGCGGCGGGGGATTCTCTGAACGGCTGGAGCAGCATCTAATAACCAACTCGCAAAATAAAACAAAATAAAAACAAACCAACAAACATGAAAACACCAGACATTATGATACAGACTTATAATTTGCACCGATGGTTTTTCTAAATTCTATACTCGAAAAGTGAGCGCGAGAGCTCTCGGTGCGCCTGCTTGCTGCTGAAGTCAAAGTAAACTTTATTGTCATCTCCGCTACATACTGTCATGGTCCGTGGGGGTACCTGGAGGGTGTCTCCTTCTGTGGCTGCTGTACCATCCCTTTGGGGCGGGGACTTCGGTGCTTCAACTGAGCCTCAGCTGCGAGCAATCAGCTGGAGACCTACTTCAGCTGTCTTAACCGGCTCCTCTGTGCCAGTTTGTTCTACCCGTCTCGGTGGTAAATGACGTTTCCCTTTGTGGTTTTCCTTGTGTGACTTAGCTCTCGGAGTAATTTCTGTCTTCCCTTGGTACAGCGGAGTTCCTATCCTGGCTTTCACCTTACGGGGACAGTCCCTGCCTCCCAGCCTACTCGTCCGCTTGCCCTCCAACCCCCACGCTTCAGCTTGGGACCCTCCAGACCAGTGGACACTCTTTCAATGATGAAAAAAACGGAATCGTCTCGTATTCAGAGAAAATATTACGCATTTCGTATTGAGGTGAAAAGGAACACAGTTTGTCCCGGACTTCAGCTAGAATGGAAAAAGACACAAAGCTGGAGTTATTCTGTGTTTACGCTGCACAGCTGCCTCTTCTTCTCTCATCCTCTCACCCTCCCTCTCCTGTTTCTACTTCAATCATGAAACTGATCAATGATCAGCTGATCGGCTTTTCTCTCTTGTTTATTTATTGCCCACTTTGCGCCGAAAGAGGAAACCAGCGGATGTCGCGCTAAAAAACAGCAGCACTTTTAAGCTTGATCAGCTGTTGTTAGAATTTATTTAATATTAATTTCTAGTATCAGCTGATGTTGGCTGGAGCCACAGCTGTAAACCTGCTGGTCATGATATCGGTTTGGTTATGTGATGAGAGGGAAACATGAAGATGAAACCAGGAGATGTCCTTACCGAATCATCAGAGCTGTGATGGAGAAACAGGTTTACCTTTTAGTTAACATGAATGAGTTGAAGGGAAGTTATGAACTGTTTCTGAGAGACATATTACACCAGGATCCTTTTCTAAGTAGCTGACAGCTGGTAACTGTGCAGGGGCGGGTCTAGCAAAGTATTGCCAAGAGTCCATGTAGGGAATTAAAAGGGAAAGGGGGGCACAAGGAAATGCTTTCTTATTCTCATTTAAAATGTCTCACTTTTAAAAAAATAATTATCTGAGTCTTACAACAAACAATTGATAGATTGATACATACAGGGAGTGCAGAATTATTAGGCAAATGAGTATTTTGTTCACATCATCCTCTTCATGCATGTTGTCTTACTCCAAGCTGTATAGGCTCGAAAGCCTACTACCAATTAAGCATATTAGGTGACGTGCATCTCTGTAATGAGAAGGGGTGTGGTCTAACACCCTATATCAGGTGTGCATAATTATTAGGCAACGTCCTTTCCTTTGGCAAAATGGGTCAAAAGAAGGACTTGACAGGCTCAGAAAAGTCAAAAATAGTGAGATATCTTGCAGAGGGATGCAGCAGTCTCAAAATTGCAAAGCTTCTGAAGCGTGATCATCGAACAATCAAGCGTTTCATTCAAAATAGTCAACAGGGTCGCAAGAAGCGTTTGGAAAAACCAAGGCGCAAAATAACTGCCCATGAACTGAGAAAAGTCAAGCGTGCAGCTGCCAAGAGGCCACTTGCCACCAGTTTGGCCATATTTCAGAGCTGCAACATCACTGGAGTGCCCAAAAGCACAAGGTGTGCAATACTCAGAGACATGGCCAAGGTAAGAAAGGCTGAAAGACGACCACCACTGAACAAGACACACAAGCTGAAACGTCAAGACTGGGCCAAGAAATATCTCAAGACTGATTTTTCTAAGGTTTTATGGACTGATGAAATGAGAGTGAGTCTTGATGGGCCAGATGGATGGGCCCGTGGCTGGATTGGTAAAGGGCAGAGAGCTCCAGTCCGACTCAGACGCCAGCAAGGTGGAGGTGGAGTACTGGTTTGGGCTGGTATCATCAAAGATGAGCTTGTGGGGCCTTTTCGGGTTGAGGATGGAGTCAAGCTCAACTCCCAGTCCTACTGCCAGTTTCTGGAAGACACCTTCTTCAAGCAGTGGTACAGGAAGAAGTCTGCATCCTTCAAGAAAAACATGATTTTCATGCAGGACAATGCTCCATCACACGCGTCCAAGTACTCCACAGCGTGGCTGGCAAGAAAGGGTATAAAAGAAGAAAAACTAATGACATGGCCTCCTTGTTCACCTGATCTGAACCCCATTGAGAACCTGTGGTCCATCATCAAATGTGAGATTTACAAGGAGGGAAAACAGTACACCTCTCTGAACAGTGTCTGGGAGGCTGTGGTTGCTGCTGCACGCAATGTTGATGGTGAACAGATCAAAACACTGACAGAATCCATGGATGGCAGGCTTTTGAGTGTCCTTGCAAAGAAAGGTGGCTATATTGGTCGCTGATTTGTTTTTGTTTTGTTTTTGAATGTCAGAAATGTATATTTGTGAATGTGGAGATGTTATATTGGTTTCACTGGTAAAAATAAATAATTGAAATGGGTATATATTTGTTTTTTGTTAAGTTGCCTAATAATTATGCACAGTAATAGTCAGCTGCACACACAGATATCCCCCTAAAATAGCTCAAACTAAAAACAAACTAAAAACTACTTCCAAAAACATTCAGCTTTGATATTAATGAGT